CAATGTTAGCTATCAGCCACCAACCTTTGGCAGGTTTGGTCGGGTATGCGATTTCGCTTTATGAACCCAGTTGAGCTGATAGCTATTCTAATTACTAATACTTCGAAATTATAGCATTTTCACTGCTTTTTTTTCGCAGTGTTATTATGTTACTTATATAACTAAGGGAATTGAGTGGTGAACAAAAACATGAAACGTGGGTTCGATTCCCTCCTGAGGCCGTGTTTTTGTTCACCACTCAATTCTCTCAAATAACAAGAATTACACTACACGTGTGCGTTGCAAACGTGGTCGATTAATCGATCGCTAAACGCCGTAGTGAATCCACGGCCAGCAGATACTCAGCCCACATTATCCTACAAACAAATGCGTCGCGTATGCGAAACTCAATCTCGTTTTCCTAGCTACATTTCAGTGAAACGGTCATTTCAGAAAATAAGCACAGCGTTTAAATCGTTGAAACTCACGTTATTGAATGGTCGCCTATGATACACGAGAAGTTTCTGTCCTGCGAGAAAAATGCTCTTGTACAGGACATGTTTTCTTACTGCTGGAGCATTATAAAAAGGATTTTCCAAAATAAAGGTCACGTGTTGTAGTAGCCGAAGATTTAGTTTTTGAGTGATTAGTAACACTCTTGTGAGAAGTTCTTGTCTAGCTAAAGAACTCGTTTCTTCATTTGTCGCCGGATAACACACTTGAAACGATTTATTTTCATTAACAAGCATTGAGGTTTTTTCAATTACCGATAGCGATTTTGAAGTCTTTTGAATGTTCTCATCTCCTTTCCTTCATAGCAAAACCCCCTTCAGTGACAACAAAGTCCTGAATTTTGTTATGTAACCTGTCTTGATACCAACGCGTCCCTGGCGAAAAATCAACGCGTTACTGAAAGGGCTGATCAGTTTCTGAGTTCTGTTGCTATAGTTTGCACCATATTCTATCAAGTCGCTTTTTTTCATAACTCCATACTAAGATATAAACATCCATTTAGTGGCAAGCTGGCTGCTGTTCTTACAAAGACTTTGCTTCAGGACAATCTAGTCCACAATACTGAATATCATACATTCAAGAAGACTAATGGAGGAACTATCGTTCTTCAAATAGCAGGTAAATTATTAGGAACCTGCAACCATTGATTCTTTTAGAGAGTGTATCGACGTCGTCTTGTCACGTTTTCACATTGATTGTGTTAACCCCTCACAGCATCGTTCTGGTCATTCGTACAGCCGCGATTAATAAAGAGCAAGGCAATGTTAAGGATTATCCGCTAACACTCGGTAGCTTAAGCATTCTTCTATTACTAAACCTTGTTTGCCATCACCCAGTCAAGGGTTGTATCCCTTCAAGAAAACTTTGGCTTTGTTTCAGAATTCACAAGGTGGGGAGTCTCTTTCATGTTTATGGATATATATCCGCTAAAGAATCATCTCAGAAGTATCCAGTCTTGCTGCAGAAAAGGTCACTTTTGAACTAGATTACAACTCGTTGTATGAAAGACTTTGTGCCACTGCATATCAAGAACCACTTATGCTACTACTGTATTTATTACTTCATCGCAATTCTGGCTTCAAGAACTGTGTGTTGTCGAAGATAAATCTGGAAACTCTTGTGAGTTTCATTCTTTCGTCCTTCGTTTTACTGCTCCTCTTAAAAGTACGTATAGAATTACTGTACCACGTGTTCTATGATATGTGAAACTCTTGTGGAGTGCATGTCATTTTTGTCACTCAGGGATTCCATATCGTTGCACGAACGTTGAACTTAAAGGAAAACTCCAGTTACTGGTACAGTTCTTCGCACAACTAATATGCAATCTGGACTACGTGTCCCTTGAAGTGTTTCTATAATTTTGCGAAACTAAACGAATGTGGTTTTTCCAGCTTTTTTTTTACTGTGATATGGAATTTTGTGTGGTGCAACTGACGTTTGAACTCTATAGAACCGTAATCACCTGCCATAAATTCAAAACTGCATTCCAAAGTTTAGCTTAACCTTCTGTGTAGCGCGTAGTACCATATGGTGCACTCTGAGTGACGTCGCGTCTAGTGCCTTATAGTAGTCGTCACGCCGCTTTTCGGAGTTAAATTATGCGGTCGCTCTTCGATATTAACCCTTTGGCTTCCGCGCTGATATTTCTCTTAGCACGCGACGCGATCGCCGAGTGGGCGGGATGCGCTCCGATTACAATATGGGAGTATTTTAAATAAATTCAGATGTTACCATCATTAAGGCGATTTTATCGTCAGTAGTGGTAGAATGTGATAGATGAGACTTCAATAAGGCTATCGGTAATAGAAACATCTCCAACCCCCCTCTTCTATAACCCCGACTTTCTCAGAGAAAAAGGTTCTTCGAAAAGGTCATTTTTCAAACTTTTATTGGATATTTTCGTGCTATCATAAATTTTTCCAAATCTCAGTCATATTCGCTACTCAGTTATATCATCAGCTATTTATCTATGTGCTTTGCCACCAAGTCGTCATACAAATCGAGCACACCATTATTTTGTGCTTCTAAAATCGGATATTACACCGAAAATCCTTCAGTTTTGATTTCTTCACATTCCATGTAGCAGTTCAAAGTCATCATAGCGATTGAAAGTTGCAAGAGAATAAGTAGTCCAGCAAAGATGTTTCAGGGTATTGCATGCAATGCCACCTCATCGAAAACTTACTGAATTTTTGATTATTTGTGTTTTTAAGTTTTATCTTTACTTTTACAGCCTAATCTTCATAGATTCTGAGAATGGACTTTGTTCCATCGATCCTATAAACAATTTACTTTAGTACGAAAATTATTCATTGCTGCATCTTCTGCAACTACTTTAGCTCTACTTTTACGTTCCTTACTTGTTTCGTTCTAGTTGAATAGCTCAAGATGATTTTCTTCACCTCGTCCAGTTCCCACCACTCCAAACAACTCTTATGTAACCACCGTTATATGGCTACTAGACATAAAGTTGAAAAAATACTATGTCTAAATACATTCTTTATTCGACTGTCACTTCAAGCCTCGATAAAAATATATAGTCTTTGGGTATGTTCTCTGAAGTTTTTTGAGAACGTAATATGAAACGTAAGAAACCTCGAAAAAACGGCTAAAAACAATTTTATGTTTATATTATCAAAGACTATATATGCCTAAATAGTTATTTTGAGTAGAAATTGTTCTTAAAAAACGTGGAACTAGATTGTGCCTCCTGGTTATTGGGGCCCCTCCACTGTGAAGGTGAACCACCTATAGCAGTCAACAACCAAAAACACTTCCCGGCGACTATGAGGGAGTTAGTCATTGAGCTATAAACTAAACGTTAATGAGAAATCGAATCGAATGCTACTTTCTTTTGATAATCTGATAACACGTTTTGAGACTTCATAAGGTTTGGTAGGACACTTATATACTGTTAGACAGCTGTTCTTTCGCCCTTGCAAGTTCATCAGTAACACGGTGCTTTTCGGTCCATTCGATCCTTTGTAGTGAATACACCACCTACTTATAAAGGAATCGACGCCGACTTATTCAAATCAACGCTTGTCGACTGGCTTAATCCTCCGATATTGCAGTGACCACGGTCGAACAATAATGGCTGGTAGAATGAATGACACCTTTACTTTCGGCTGTTTATATTGTCGTTGCTTAAGAACAATAATAATCTGACAATCTGATATCATGTTTTGAGCCTTCACGAGGTCAAGTGTGGAGTATGTTCCTGCATTGGATCGGCTGAACCAAAAGACACCCTGATACTGATGAGCCTGCTAAGCGAAATAGTTGTCCATCACTGTTTGAGTGCCATACCAGATCTCATAAAAAGCTCAAAACATGTTATCAGATTGTTAGATGATTATTATTTTTGAACAAGGCCTAGGTGAACTGTCGAAAATAAAGCTACTTTCTTTCGGCTTTTTTTCCTGTGGATGCTGTAGCCTTCAACTAGTGTACACGAATGACCACCATATTTTCGCAGTTAAAGTGGTCCAACTTTAGAATGTTTTTTAAGCAGCATGAGTTTCTATGTAAAATCTTGGCTTTATGCGATTCTAAATCTATTATCTAGCCTATTTGCTTGTTTTTCAGAAAAAAAATCAAGTTGCTCTCATTTTATTTTCACCTAGGCATTTCATATCAGGCAACCAATCAGATTCTTGACTGGTTCGAACTCTTATTGTTTCCGTTGAGTAGGTCTTACCCGTGCAAAAAATTCTTCATGACGGCGTTGCTTCGTTGTCTTCAAATAAGCATAACATGTACCTTGTTCTAATAGTGATGCTCATTCTCAGTAAAGACGGCTTCTTCTGTAAAATCATCCATGAAACTGAGTTTTTTACGATTTCAATATTGCTTGAATGTCATACCTAATGTGTTGATCATTCAGATGATAACTGATGTTTGCTGGCTTTTAACGATCGTCCTATAAAAAAAACTAACCCTCGGTGGTCTTTGGGCTGTGATTTTTGTGCGTACGGTTCATATGAATGCAATAAGGATGAGAGCCAGTTGTCTTTGCTCTCCTCATGTCATCTGTCAATTTAGATCACCATAAATATGACTTTTACTGTTCAAGATTTTGAAGCTCAATTTTCCGACAAACCTTTATTTAAGATCGCTACTTGCATACAAATTGTCTGGCTGCCCTTGCAAATACGTCATCATGCTTCAAAAACCTTTCACCTACTGTCTGCCAGAAATTAGTGTCTCTCCTGGAAATACGTTCATAATTTATTCTTTTTACTCTTTTACCATTGTTTCGCTTCCTATTGCAGTTGTTGACAAAACGCCATGTGAAATTGGTAGAGCAGATACGCTTTGGTTCTGAGCAAGAGTCCGCCGATCAAAAGTATTCGTGTTATGTCAGTTGTATAAACTTAGTATTTGTTTCTAAGTCATTGTGATGAGTGCTCAATTTTTCGATTTTCTAGTATTTTCACTGCTTTTTTCTTCGTAGTGTTATGGTGCTACTTATACACCTATGAGAACTGAGTGGTGAGCAAAAGCACGGCCTCAGGCGGGAATCGTACCCGCGTTTCGTCCTATCTAGGAACGCATACTCTACCACTACACCACCGACGCACATTCTCCCGACCACTTATTCTTCTTCTCATAAGTGTCCAATTTAATTAGAATAGTCATTTCGCGGTATTCATACTCCTTGGATATCTCTCAGCTTAGGCGAGGTTGATAAGAAATTCATTCAGCTAGCGTTTCGACATCTTCATCCTCTTCTTAGCCGAGAAGTTTGCAAGAATGCGTTGATTGTTCTCACCGATGTTGAATAATGGCCGGTTTTTAAGATATATTGGTACGCATGTTTGTTCATTTTAGCACGATGACATCACAGTCCTAGAAGAGGGAATCCGCACACTGTTGGAAATCATCAACAGCGCCCTTTGCGCAAATCTGTACAAAAATCCCTCATCTCATCTACACGCTTTTATATCATCGTTGTCTTTTCGACTCATATCAACACCATCCAATGTTTCAGGTTCGCGATGACCCAATTTTAGCCTAATCTGCTATTACATTACAGTTTGTCGTAGGTTTTTGGATATGAGTACCACTTTGGTTCTATTTTAGGATCAACTCAAAAACATAAAGCTCGTCATATCACATTTTTCCTCAAAGGACGTGCATGTGAAGGCTGGTGACGGTGGTGCTATGATGGAAGTCATTGAAAAAGAGGTGGTAGTTTTGCCAACAGATCGACTAACCAAATACCCTGAACTGCGACTTAGGTGATCAACGTTTTGCTGTTAAGTGATTTCCAGTATCAACACTAAAACGTCAATATTAAATATAAATTATCGACTTTGAAGCGGTTTAATTTTGTTTTTGTAAAGCTTTGATCCATAGGCAAATGTTCAGACAGTATTGTATTTCAAGAATCGCAAAAAAGTCGTCGAATTTTTATTTTTTCTACCGAATATCATAAAAACACCTGTGCTGAGTTAGAGCATGTTAATGGCTCATTGATTTTTTGTCGCCTTTCTCAAGGAAATCTATATATCATAGTATTTATTATGAATTTTTGACAAAACAATGCTTCCGAAAAATTGTGACAATGGAAGGGGCTATTACCACAGTTGATAGACAGACGATTACCTCCATTCTCCCTTCATCTCGCAAAAACAGAGTCGCTCTCCAGCACAGTTCACCACTTATCTTGGATGTCCATTAGTCTGAATGAGGAAGCAACTAGCAAGCCACTGAGAGGGAGACGGTCATGAGGCGTGTGCTGGTCATCTTTTGTATAGGAGAACGTAAACAAGTTATCCCAAAAGATGAATCAATTATCCGCGAAGCAGAGTTGCGCAGTAATTAAGAATACAGTGTACAAGCACTTGCTTTGGTAAACGATGCTCCAGTTTGATCCTCTCTGCACTACTCTCCTACATTCAATTAATTGAATGCTGAGGACTTCTTATCGGCTATCTCCGATATTGCAAAGCGAATAGTTATGACCAACATACTCCTTTTATTACGAGGAAGGCAAATCCTCACGCAGCAGCCAAGGAAGCGCGTGAAATCTTCGAAGACATTTGTGAAGGACAAATGCGACGAAGCGAAACGATGTGATAGGATCCGCACAATAAATTATGGTTTTTTTTATAATGGGTCATCTTTCAAAAAAACCATGATATCAATAAGTGTCCTCTTATTTGTTTCTTACATGAAAGCACGAAAGATTCAAGATTTTGAAGATGCTAAGCGTCAACAAAATTTTATTAGCGAGATCTTCATACTGTGTGCGAATCTTCTCTATTAGTCAAAATGGTCTTCTAGTAGTGCGATAATGAGACCTTTGAAATGCCTACTGAAATGCATTTATGTTTGATTTAAATTATACCATTTATTCCTTTGGAGGGTTTACATAATTGCCTTACATCATGATTCAAATTAGTATGATTAACTTATGAGTTTACCGAGCTGCACATCTGTAATATGTTAGTTATCAAGTGTAATGAGGGGATTATAATGAGGGGATATGTGGTCTAGTGGTATTCTGTGCAACCCACTCACTCATGGTCGTTGGTTTCATCCCACAGTCCAGTCTCACCACCAGTCTTCCCATCCATCCGTGGTCGGAGAACTCATGTTACGATAGCTTAATCTTTGCTAAGTATAGCGACTGGCATTTTCTTGGACTTCAGGATTTTTTTTTGATGGTTCTTTTCCATGTGTTCTAAAGAGTTTTTATTTACTACAGTTTCCGTTCAGCACCGAAATCATGCAATTTCATTGGAAAAAACATATCAAAATGTTGGAACGGCATCACCTTTTCACACAACCTATTATTTTACATCGTTCTGTTTTCGTGACAGTGATGAAGATTTTGATAGTGCATTCTTTCTTGTTCTTACCTTAATGTGAACATCCTGTTCAGGTACGTGGAAAATGAGAATACTATAGATTTCTTTGTGCCATCCGTTTGGAGACTGACAATGCAGCGTTCGACAATTATATTTGATAGTGCGAGAATGAAGTTATTCAACACTTAAATGTTTAGCACCACTAGTTAATGTTTACTTCCGTCGAAAATTTCGTACTATTGTTGTTTTCTTTTTTTATCATCTGTGATTGATTACGTGTAATTCAATGATCATATTTGCATACTTATTTGAGCACTTAGGGCTCTCCTTTGATTGTTCTTTATTATGGGTAACGCTTCTTTTCATAAGTATTGATTTTTTTGGTGATTAGTTTGTCAAGATAAACTGCCGTCAGACAGTGAAAATATTCATAGTTAAATTTTAAATGAGTTCTTGCAAATCTGATGAGCTTTTCATAGTTGGGAATTTATCTGAAGTCATTCGATGTGCTTCATTTCTGTATTTTCAATTCAAAAGTTGGAGGTTCTTTAAAAAACAATGTGCGACGCAATTAAAATGAGTCCAAAACAACACTGGGTTTTTAAACAGCGATCTCTCAACTATATACGTTGATTCATGCACAAATCTTTTAACTGAAATAGGGACCTGTGAAGGCTACACGTTTTCGTCAAGGAAATGTAGATTTGTTGACTCTTATAGGATAGAGTTTGAGACTATTAATTTTTCGGAAGCATATTCGGTACTGGGATAGCATCTGACGATTTTCCTAGTAATAGTTGGAACAAGTTTGACTTTTAATCAGTAGCTGCCTCATGTGTAGTGGAGCAACCGCGTGGAAGATTACAGATTGGGCAATTCATGTTAACCAGCACTGGTTTCAAGCACTTTTCGAGTGATTGTTTCGTCAGGATTCAAGATTGTGGCGTAATCCTGCTCCCGACTAGTGCTCTTTTATTGTAATTTTTCTGAAGTCTGACTTTTATCCTCAGTGTAAATGATCAGTATCTTCTTGAACTTTCAAGCTAACCCGACATTGGTAATAAGTTTCACTCGGACAACATTTCGACGTCATCATCTTCTTCGGAGTCGGATTGTTGGAAATTAAAGTTATAGATTAGGAGATAATGAGGTGAGATTTATGTAGTTCGCTATAAGATGGTCACCAACGACCGTAGCAGTCAAGAACTAGAAGTTTTAATATGATGCGCAAAGTTTTGAGAATGGAGTTTGCTGAGCTGATTAGGTTAAATCTCTGCTGCGAGATTTTTAGATATAAGGAGCCATTGTTAGAGTAAAGGATTACTCTCAAAGAATATGGACGAGCGGGTCAAAGAGTAAAGTGGCAGAAATCTATTTTCAGTCGCGTATGCGATTATGTTTATGTAGAAACAAGTAGAACTATTCAGCGTTCTAAGAGCACTTGGAACCATTGTAAAAGTATCACGAATGTTCTGAAGCACTGAACTGGTGGTACAGTCAAAAATCTAAAACCGATCAAAGTTGAGTTCAAAACAATTTGTTCCGAATGTTATAATGTTCATGGTTTAGGTTATTGTTGAGGATTTATCAAGAACAATCACTTATTTTGTAGACTTCTCGTATAGTTTCCGCACGAAAGCTTTACGAAATAAAATCTGCTTCTCCCCTGCTTTTCCATGTACCCGTATATTTGTGTTAATGAAATTCTACTCTTAGTAGACAGATTCATCCTAGAATTAATCAAGTTACACTAGAATTCTCCTTATGAGCAACCTCGCCTATCAAGTATAGCCTTCATCATGGTCCTTCCCGTTAAAGGACTCGAGATGAAAAACCGACCTCTTCCGCTCGGCAAGAAATTTTCATGAGAGTGTTAGTAATCGTTCGAAAGCTTGAGTCTCTGGCAGGAGTCGTACCTGACCGTTTTTCGAGAGGACCCTTTTATAACTCTATGGAGTTCAAAATAAGATTGTTTTTCACATGGGCAGCGAAATTCAACTGTTACTTCGCTAGAAACAGGAAAAGCACATGAACGTGTAGAGGAGGTCTTTTTATATCGTTTGGTATCTTTGTCAGACGTTTGATCTAGGTTTTTTTTCTAAACCAAGAAACATTTCCTAATCAAGTGACAAAAATCACACTCCACTTATCCGCCATCGATCGGTGACCTCACCGACCCCCTATTCCTTGCCGCTCCAGCCCGTAGACCATGAGTTGGTCAAAGTACACTTGCTCGCTTATGTGAATCTATTTTATTTTTCCTGCTACACTGCGCAGAGACGACCTCTCCAGAAAGCAAGCACAGCTTTTGTATCTTTAAATCCCACGCTATCGAACGATTACTAATGTTACAAAGAAAGAACTCTGCCTTGCAAGACACGTGTGTAAAACATGAATGTCTTCCTTTCGTTGAAGCGTTATAGAAAGGCTTTCTCGAAAAATCGGGCAGTACTGCGCTAGGTAGAGATTTAAGCTTTCGAATAGTTGCTAACATTCTTGAGAAATTTTTCGGAACCGGTTTCTGATCTCGTGCCGTCTAACGAAGAAGTGCTCCTGGCATTAGAGCTGGTCACTAGAATTGATGCTAAAGCACCTTTTTGAATTCGAATAATTAACGTTCACTGTGTGCGAAGGTCGCATAATCAAAAGCTTTCAAATATCGATCGGGTGAAAGCTAAAAAGTGAACAGAGAAAAGATACAGAGTCAGCGTTGATCACTGTCGAGAAATCTAATGCACTCGACACCATCAGGACTAGTTGGCA